GGTTCCTATCGAAGAGTCAGGCAAACACAATTTCAAAAAGTCCTTAACGAGGGAAAAATAAAGCCTACTAGAGGTTGTACCGACCCAATTCGTAAGAGCCACTACTGCCAGCCCATACTAGAGGTCGTACTGACCCAATGCGTAAGAGCCACTGCCGCCAGCCCATACTAGAGGTCGTACCGACCCAATGCGTGAGAGCCACTGCCGCCAGCCCATATAAAAGGTCGTACCGACCAAATGCGTAAGAGCCTAAGGGCCAGCTTTTAATTCAAAAACTTAAGGGTCAATAAGCTCGAGTCAAAATCCAACTCGGGGACTGAACCCAAAATAGTTAATTGAATACGCCTATGAGCAAAAGCGTAAGAGCTTAAACGACGACTTATACTAAAAGGTAGTACCGACCAAGCGCGTAAGAGCCTATGGGCTGGCTCAACGAGCCCCAGGGCCGTATTATAAATCTAAGGGTTCTCTTAACTCGAAGATCAGTTCGTTTGGCTAACGACTGACAAATATCAAGGCAAAGGGAAATGCATGGAAAATAAAACCGCGAGCTTTCCTTTTATACATACATGTGAGAGAATACGAGCTTCATTTACAAAGTTCTTCAAAAACACTAGGCACAAAACAAGAAGGGAAGAGCCTAATCTATATCCCCCTCGGGGACTATGGTCCGTCGGCCTCTTTCTCGCTATCGGACAGAAGGAGCTTAGCACTTTATTCTTCTGCCTTTGCCTACTTTATCTCTTCTGAGAGGTCGAAGTCCCTAGTATGAATTTCCTCGAGGGTTTCCCTCCGAGATTTACACCTCACGTACTCTTTGTTCCTACTCTCCTGGTCGAGAGCCCCCCTTAGCACAACACGAGCGTCGGCAGCATCCTTCAAATAGACAACCACCTTCTTATCGGCCTTAGTTCGGATTTCTCCAGCTTCAGCTCGGGCGTCCACGACTTCAGCCTTCACCTTCATGAGCTCAGACTCGAGCCTTGAAATTATGTCCGTTCGGACCAAGCTGTTCTCGTGAGCGTTGTGAAGTTGCACTTCAAGGGCGGAAGCCTTGGCCAAAACGTCTTTTTTAGCCGATATATGGGTGTCCGTCCGAGCCTTTAGCTCATCACGCTCGCACTTGACTTGACCAACTTCGCTCCTAAGGTGTTCCAGGTCCCCCGTCTTCTTCTGCAATTGGAATAAACTAGACATTAGCCTCAGAAGGTAGAAGAAGAAACGCGTGCTCCCTCGAAACAAACATTACCTGCTCCTCGAGGTAGCTCTCGTAGTTTAGACTTCGACTCGCCTCATACCGCAAATTTGCCAACTCGTCTTTCCTTTCATCGCAAAGAAGCCTGAGGGATTTATCCGCACCCACGGCTTCTCGCGACCTGGTCTCACGACGGATCAACTCGGACTTGAGCTTGTTAAAAGCCTATACAAGAGAAACTCGGTAAGAAAGTAAAAATTACAAAACTATAAAACCAATACGAACGACCAAAACTCACCTCATAGTAGAGCCGCTGAGCTTCCTCAAAAGTTGAGCGCACATCTACTAGTCTGGATCCGTCTACCTTGGTAGAACCACTCCCAGTCGGGGCAAAATCACCCGATATATGCGGCCCCTAGCATCGAACATCCCTTGAAGTGCCTTCGACGGGAGACCAAGTCAGCGGCAAACAACCCTCGTTCCTCGAAGTACCTTCGACGGTAAAAGAAGAACTCTACAAAGGAGAATAACTACTCAGAATAGCGGAATCCTCAAAAGGGGGAAGACAACCCTATATATGAAGAAAGCGGTGATCGTTCGCCTGCCTCAAAGGCCAATCAAAATTGCTGACTAAGCCATTTTTCGCTTGGGGAAGATGTACCAGCGGGATTGCCTTGGTTGTTTCATAACCATGTCATGCAATTAACGTTGCCGAGCAACGCTTTAGGGATCAAAGATCCCCACATCATTACGAGCCTCGAGATGGTACCCGATCTCGAGGACCTCTACCAAGAAAAAGATATGCTCTAAGGAGCCATTAATATCATTACGAGCCTCGAGATGGTACACGATCTCGAGGACCTCCACCAAGAAGAATGTATGCTCTAAGGAGCCATTAATATCATTACGAGCCTCGAGATGGTACCCGATCTCGAGGACCTCCACCAAGAATAATGCATGCTCTAAGGAGCCATTAATATCATTACGAGCCTCGAGATGGTACCCGATCTCGAGGACCTCCACCAAGAATAATGCATGCTCTAAGGAGCCATTAATATCATTACGAGCCTCGAGATGGTGCTCGATCTCGAGGACCTCCATCAAGAAGAATATATGCTCCAAGGAGCCATTAGTATCATTACAAACCTTGAGATGGTACCCGATCTCAAGGACCTCTATCAAAATGAAGACAAACTCTGAAAACCTACTCATATGGGCTTGACCTCGAGGTGGTACCCTACCCCGAGGATTTCTGCTATAGCAAGCGCGGGCTATTTACCCGATCTTCCAGCCCTCGAGCTACCTAAGTCGGAGCCAACTGTCACTCAAAAACTATCAATAAAGCCTTAGGCTATCTTTCGTCTTCGAATCGAGTTAAATGCTCTCTTAGTTACTTTAACCTAGGGGTTATCCGAATCCGGGCGTATCCTCATCTGAGATCTATCTATAACGCCTTGAGGCTATTTTCACTCTCAGTTCAAGACGAGTTTTCAGGTCGCCCGCGCTCGAATGAACTTTCGCCCGGGGACTATCCGTTGAAGCCTAAAAGCTATTTTTAGTCACAGAAGCCCAAGCAAATCATTCCCCATCGAGGACTATCGACGGGGCCTGGAGGGCTAAGTTTCGTTTTGAAAGTTCGAAGTCCTACTCTCATTCAACTCGAAGTCGGGGGTCCCAACGGCCTAAGCTCGCATCAATTCAATTCGGGCTCAGCACGAGGAATGACAAACGGTTCCACAGGATATTGTATTAACCGATCGAGGACCGGGGAAACACCTATACCCGTGCCGGCATTCAGACCGATCGGTAGAGTCATGCACTCAGATGCTTCACAAACGCAAGTAGCAGGAAGTCCGGCATGAATCAGATACAGAATTAAAGAAACACTTTTTCATTAGCAAAAGATGATTACAAAAGCCCATGAAGGGTCCTTACACAAAAACAAAGAAACAAAAGCAACAACTAAAAGTCTAATCTACTCTCAAGGGTATATCCTCGGGAGCAACGCCTTCAAGAATCATTTCTTCGGGGCTTCATCTCGGCCTCCCCAATGACGTCTTCAAGGACGAGGAGGAAGTAGAAAAAGATGAAGAAAAAGTCGTAGCCCGCCAAAGAGCAAAAGCTTTTACCAGGCCGAGAGAACTATACAGCCTGATAGAAGACTTGGCGAGCGTAGGCCCTACCTGCACGGCTACTTTGAGTCCACTTCTTGGGACATTGTGCCGTGCAAGATAGCAGCTGGTAGTGCCGCTTCACCCCCACAAAAAGCAAAAGGGATGAAGTGCCACACCAGGTCGAAGTAGGGAGGTGAGCAGTGGTGTAAAGTTCGAACATCCTCCTGAGTAGCGGTGTAAAGTTCGAATACCTTTCTGAGTAGGAAGAAATCGGCGCTCTTATTTCATCGTCTCGGGCCAACAACAACAACAACAACAAATCGGTATAACTTCGCTCATGAAGGAAAAACTCTAGAAAAAGGCCATGGCACAACTAATGAGAACACTGCCATGTAGCCTTAAGACCGCGGGCCTCAAACATGGGAAATAACAACGGATGAGGATGAAGAGAAGAAAGGGGTAAAAGGTTGTTGAAGAACATTTGAATGAAGTTTTGGTTCAAGAAGGCTTCCATTTATAGGAAGGGTGGCAGCGTAACCGACAGGTGCAATCAATGCGTTTTGGGAACTGGACCGGCGTCAACATTATCGCTTTGGAGAATATGAATCGACAGTACATTGAATGATTCTAGAAAGGTGAATCAGCGGGACGCCCCAGTTATCACAAAGGCTTACGTCATAAGTATGACATCATCGCGGGAAGTTTGAGGGGATGTATATCAAAGTCGTTTCTTATCGTCTCACTCTAAGAAACGCGGGGACTATCTGTATACGGTAAAATTGGAGGGTTCGATTTTCGATCATTACGACGCTTCACAAGCACGTTTGCATAGGCTCAAGATTATGGTCGAGAATAACACCCGAGGGGTTGACGACGTCCAACCTCGAGGCAGTACATATCGATAGTTATGGCAAAAAAGTGGGACGTTCCCAAGGCGTGTAGCTAGAGCTGGCAATGCCTATTAGGCTAGTCTAGGCCCTCATCATGGCATTAATGGTTGTACCAACCCCATATCTTTGTAATAAATGCATTTGTACTATGTTGGGATCTCCTCCTCATATAAAAATGGGATCCTTGTCATTTTGTAAGGAACCAGATGCTCAATATTGAATATACAAGAACATTCTCTCTAACATATTCTCTTGATCTCATTGCTTTCATTTATTGCTTATATTCATTGTGTTCTATTTTCTTATTCTTCATTTATTGCTTATTATTGGCCATAAAGAGCCGTCATTGATTTTATCATAACTGTTAGTCATCCATCGACTACCCTCAGCAAGACATCAAACTCGACCTCGAGGCCCCGAATAAGCAAGCTCGAGGCCCCCAATTATCAGCCGTTCGGTTTGGTTATCACCTTACTTTCAAGCTCTTATCTTGTTTCCAGGTCTTTCACTTAGCATCAATTGCCTAATAACCTGGAAAAAAAATAGATCACATATTTTTAAAACCACAAAATCAAATCTAATTGTAATTACCATTTTCAAGGTAAACAATATTCTAAATTGTTGAATGCCATTGACATATGTTCTTACCTTATGTTGAAGCAAACTAGCAAATACTACACGCTTCCTGAGGTTAGTGATCAAGAAATAAGAGGAATAGCAAGAGAAAAGAGGATGAAATTTTGCTATATGCATTATCCTGTAGCATCGTGCAAACACAAGGGCAGATGCACAAGTAGTCAGTGGTAGGAATGTACCTTCTACTTTTCAGTCAAGCTATATATGTATGTCATTACACCTCAATCTCAAGGTAGATAAGGTCGACCATATGAATTATCAGTAACTATTTTGCTCATCCAATGTAACGACAACAACAACAAACCCAGTATATTCCTAGGGGAGGGTAGTGTGTACGCAGATCTTACCTCTACCTAGTGAAGATAGAGAGGTTGTTTCCAATAGACTCATCCAATGTAACGAGGTTTCCCTATAATTGACTATTCTTTATGCTGGTTTGTAACCCTTTTCATATATCCAGGCATGGACCAGTTACACTTTCACATAGGCAGTGAAAAGATTGTAGAAAATATACTCATATTAAGTTCTCACTCAGTGTCACACGAGTAGTGACTGCAGTAGTACTCCACACACGTTGACTTGAAATCTTGGATCTTCTCTATGCAAAATGCGTTTCTTCGAGGCAGTATACTAAATTGCAGCTACGAATACTTTTGCTTATGAAAGCCTCAGAAAAGCCAATGCTTCTTTCTGCGCACTCTAGCAGGCACCTCTGTTGCACGTCCAGATAAGAAGAGTAACAAACATATCAGCAACCAATGATAGGCAATTTCTTAAGGAAGATATGGGAACAGGACAGGCAATGTTCAACAAAGAATGTGTTTGTGGGTGCGTGTATGTGAAAAAATCACTAAGATTTCAACAAATATTTAATTCTGAATGCATAATTTCAAACGTGTAGTGGATTCTGTGGTAAGAAATAAAGATTGAACCCATCAACAGTACATTCTGAATCTGCTTCTGAGAACAGGGTATATACCTCCAATCACGTATAGAGAATTGTAATGCACTTCACTCCAGAAACTCAGCCACAATTCTAAATTTTAAGAAAAGCAGTTAAAAGTATGAACATATAATTTATAAAGATGAGAGAAAATTCAACACCTCAAGATGAATTGAGAATGCAAACCAGAGTATAAAGCAGTCCTATTTTTGTATTCATTGACAGCATACATAATTTGCTCAACACTACATGGTTCTTCCATGGTAAGTATTGGAACAATGCATTTGAAACAAATAATGATCCGTCTTGAACCAAGCCAACGTATACTTAAACATTTAACTAGTTTTTCCTAGATCATCACCAAACAGAATGTTTGCCTATTTAAAAAAGATCAGCTCAAGAACATCCTCAAACAAACATGATCTAAAATTGAACTTCCTCCGGAGAATGCATTCAGTTACTATAGTACTCCCTCCATACCAATTTATGCAAACTCATTTGATTGGGCACGAAGTTTAGGAAAAAAATAAAAACTTTTATAACTTGTTGTCCTAAACAAGCCATAACATTTGTGTGGCTATAATTGTTTTCAAACTTGTAGTGTTAAACATTCCAGATTATTTGTGTGCCTATAAAAGCTTCTCATTAAGGATAAAATTGGAAGTTTAAGTTAAATTATTTTTAAATTTAGAAAGGTTATTCTTTTTGGAACGGACAAAAAAGGAAATAGGTTCACATAAACTGGAATGGAGGAGTACATGAAAAGAACTATCAAAAACAAGACATCATCCGATGTTAGTTTATTTACAAAGGATTATGTCTGTTGGTAGTAACAGCTAGCTATCTATCTATGTAAGTACGTGCGCATTGCATCATGTGTGAGTAAAACAGACAAGAAGTATGTACCTCTAGAGGGCTGTATGTCCTTAGGAAGGATCTCAATGTAGCCATTTTCGCGAAAAGAAGTGACCAAACATATTTTTACTCCATACTGCAATCAAAATCCAACAGAACGCAAAGAGTTACGACACCAGCAGAGTGGCCCACCCAAAAAAAAAAAAACGGAAATGACGTGTATTTAGGAAGCTTAAGCAGCATAAGAAAGGAGAAACCGGTAAAGCAATTTCAGAAAGCAAGAGTCTAGAAATCCTTGAGGTGGAAAATCTCCAGATCTAACCTAGTGATTCAGAGGCTAATAAAACTTGATAAGATGTAATATAACTTCTTTATACCCAGTATAGGTCCCTGATCATGTAACCTTTGCTTCTCGATCCTTCTATGTTCTCCAAAATTTTGCTGTAACTTTGCGGCAAGAATAAACAAGTTCACATTTGTGAAATTCTGCATCCACACAAGGTGGGTTTTAATAAAAAGAAATAGCCGCTAGATGTCCTGCTTTTTGAGTCGCTTTTACGCTTGGTCCCGTGTCGATGTTCTATTGTTAGTGTAGACGGATAAAGGAGAGAGGAGATGTATTGGAGACTTTATTTAATGATATTGGAGACTCTATACAGGCTCCTTATGCAAGATTCCTAATATAGTTAAATTCAAGTAAATAATTATTCTCCTACAGTTAAGTAGAGAATATCCTAGAATATCATATAAAATATTCTACAACGTTCTAGTAATCAAATATAATAAATCTAGACAAATTAGTCTAGAAATATCTATCATATAAACTACACTTACTTTTTTGGTAGAATGGCCTAACGGCCTCCTGAACTTGCACCGAATTTTAAAGCGGCCTATCAACTTCTATTTATTCCATTTTAACACCTCTACTTGATAAGATGAGTATTAATAAACACTTTTGACCATCGAGCAGGCTTACGTGGGCGACAATGTTGTTAACGTGGCCAAAATGCATGCAAATCACACTAATTAGGCGTGTGGAAAGATTATTTTGATTAAAACAAATTATTAGAATAAGAAAAGAGATTGTTATAAATAAAAAAAAAGATAAAAATAAGGCAAAATACATCGACAGACCCTTAAACTTGTCCACACTTTTCACTCTGACACTCCATTTTAAGTCTGTTCCATTTGAACATTTCAACCGAGCCTTTACTGTGTCATTTAGACACCTCTGGTTGACAGGTAACTGCACGTATTTCACACCTCTTCTAAGAGCATGCATTGTTGCATATATAACGCATTAAAGTGGGCTCGAAGTCCAAGTAGCAAAAAAAAAGTTTTTTAAAAATTCTCTTTCTCTTGCTCATCCTCTCTCTTGTTCTTCGTGAAAGCACCAGATGAGAAATTCTTCAAACTACTACTTTTAATTCCTTCTTTTAAAACAAAACAAACACATCATCATTATTCTCTTGCTCATCAAAGTATATAGTACTCCATAACTATGGAACGACACCAACTATTTTCTTAAAAGAAGAATTAGAAACAAAAAATTTCTTGATACAAATTAAGTAGAGATGCAGCAACAATGGTTTTTTTACTTTTTTGTAGAATCACACAAGAAATCCACCTCTAAATCTCACAAATCCAGGAACTCCCTGCCTCAGCGCACCACTAAACAAACTTCACCAAATTAAAAAGGGAGAATTACACCCCTTGTCACTTGGCCCAACAACCCATCAAAAAATGGCCCACGTTTGGAGCCCTTACCCAGTGTAGCCCAGGTTGTACATAATCTGAAAATTACTTTTCATCAATTAGCCCACCTTTTTTTTCTTCGTTCATCTTCTTCCCATGTCACGCCTTTGCACCCCAAAATTTTTCTACCATTGTTCTTCTCCTTCAATTCTTCTTCCAGATTCAAAGATGATAATCTCTTATGAAATGCATTATTCTGTAATTTTGTCAATTATGGTTTAAAAATTCGATTTCAGAATGGGTTTTCCGATTTGTTAGTTGTTTGGAATGGGTGTTGGCCCAATTGATTGGAATTATCAACAAGAGTTCAAAACTTAAATTTCAAGTGATTTAGAGTAGATTTATGCTGGATTTGAGTTAAATTTCAGAGGATGCCCAAGGAAGAAGAAGAACCCGTGAAGCTCCATTGATAGGATTCATTTGTATAATAATGTATAATATTGTATAAATAGTATATAAAGTGTATAAACACCTCTTATACACTATTTTACACAAGGTTGATACATTATTTACAGGTATTTGGTGAATTTCTCATATTGTTTATATACATACTGTATCACGAATATTTTTACTACTGTGAATATACATCTTTATACACTTTTATACAACTATATACATAATGTACCTCTTTGTATAAAAGTGTATAACATGTATAATAATGTATAATATTGTATAAATAGGTTTCTCGCGTCTGATTTTGCGTTTTGTAGTTATGATAGGTATGTATAAACTTGAGAAAAAAGAGAATAAAAACTCACAGATATTTCACGCCTAAAGATACACAAAATAAGAAAACAAAAAAAAAACAGTTCGGAGAAATATTGGTTATGGGAGAAGGCATGAATGAGTGTTGACTTGGTATCTCGATCAATGGTTACATTAAAAATAGGGAACTGATATTTGTTTGCATATGATACTTTTTTATTAATTAAATTAAATATTTATGGGTGAAAAATGAGGAGAGAGCTACAATACGGTAGGTAGGTGATGAAAAAAGAGAGCAGGTTGTTATAGTTAGAGGGAATGGTAAAAGAAAAGGTTTTATTGATATTTGGCTACACATTTGTAAACTTGTAACTGGGCTAAAATAGTACAAGGTCTACTTATGAAATGCATTATTGTGTAATTTTGTCAATTAAGAAACCCCAAAAGTGATTCTTGACGAAAAATACCAAAGAAATCACAGAAATGGGCTATAAGGTCTTTCGGGCATAGAATTTTGAGATGGATCTGTAAGAATGATGATTGTGATGCATTTGAGTTTGGGATTATTGAGCAAGATTCTAAATTTTGAGAGTTGTGGATATTTTCTAGCTTGATTTAATTTACAGAGGCATACCAAATGTGAATGAGGGAATAAATTGGATAAATTTTGATCGTGATGTCCAGTAGATGTGGCGCTATGGAGAAAATAAAAGATTCAGCAATTTTTTTTTATATTCTGCATTACTTTTTTTTGTGGTTAAACAAGGGCTTGCAATACAATAATTTTCGTTGGAGTTTTAGATATGGTGATGGAGCGGCACCGGTGGTTGATATGATAGTGGAGCCTCGGTGGCTGACCAAACAATAATAAGAAGATGGGCAAGGGAGAGAAAGAAAAAGACACTTTTTTATTTTTTTGAGGGTTAAGTTTTTTTTGTTTATTGATATAAAGGCCACTTATCAATTTTCTATTGCCTTGTTTGCCACATTATTGTGTGTGAAATACACACAAATGATACAGTAATAACCTGGTTAAAGTCTTCAATTGGAACAGACTTAAAACAGAGTGTGAGAATAAAAAGTGGGAACAAGTTTAAGGGCATGTCGATGTATTTTGCCTAAAAATAAAGAAGAAAAATACTTCTCCCCTCCCCACTTTTTCCTCTGTCTCCTCCCACGCCCATTCTCCTTTCTTTCCCCTTACTTCCCCTCTTTCATCAAGTGCAACAAAAAAAAACCGCAACCAGCGATGGGGTTTCATTTGAGGTCTAGTATTTGCAAAAGCAATGATTCTCTTCTTCACATCTAAGGATTCGAAATATTTTTTCTGGCTGTTGGTTTTTGTGAAAGAAGGGGTGATGGTGGTTTATGAACAAGGTTGCTTTTAAAAGCTTCGACCTCGTCATTGATCCTCTTTTATTTTTATTTTTATTTTATTTTTGTGGTGTTCAAACCTGTTTGATCTCTGCTGGGCAGTGGCAAAAGGTTCAAGCAAGTAGCTATTTCTTTGAATGGTGGTGTCGGTAAAGAGACAGTGATGAGAGAAGGACAGGAGGATTTTCAAGAGAAAAGGAGGTATAGAAGAGCTCTGTTATTCCAATACTGGTATGCGTTTCAAAAAAATTACGGGCTTCTAAAACTAAAGGTTCTCTAAATCTCACATTTGTCCCTACAATTACATACTATCTCTAACCAAAGTAAAAGCTCCTAACAAACATCATAGTTAATCTAAGAGTAACAAAGCTAAGCTTTAATTCCAACTATTTGGTATACCCAATATGGATCCTTTGCTTTCTTTGTGTTTTACTCTTAATAACTTTTACATTAGTTATGATAGATTATAGATTTTTCTAAACAATTTTCTTTTATGTGATTTTAGATTTATTTCGTCCCCCTGTTAGCACATTTAGTCATCATATTCTCACTCCTCAGCAAATGGAGGTCTACATAAAACACGACCAAACCATCTAAAACGACTTTCTTTTATGTTATCATTTATGTTGCTCGGACTCTCTAGAAATATTATCATACTCGTCTAAGATTCTCAAAAAATGCACTACTCTTGGAAGATCTGACACGCACCCGACAACATATTTGACGAGTTCGAGCAACATAGGTGCTTATCCTGTATGTGTTACTTGCACCTCCTACTTGATATGATCATTTCTAATTATTACGTGTCCCGCATTGCTTAAGGGAATGGATTGTTTCTCCTTATACAGTCTTGGGCGATCCTCATCCATAAGCTAGCTTTTGGTGCTGAATTAGGCTAGTATCCATCTTCTTTACATGATTCCATAGCCATGCTCATCCTTATTCTTGGTTTTATCCAATGTTGGGCCCCCAATGATATATTATCCATGTACCAAATGTCCAATCCTGCCCCAAAGGAGGGGGTGTTAGGAATCCCACATTGGTTGAGTGGATGAGTTGTTATCTCCTTATATGATCATGGGGCAAACCTCACCTTATTAGCTAGCTTTTGAGTTGAGTTAGACCAACATTCATCTTCTTTATACTAATCTTGTCTAATTTTGATGATCACACATTCTTAATATCTGTATACTATCTACAACTTTACCAACATTCATTCTCAAATAACAGTTTGTCCTGTATGCATCCTATAGAACTTGTCTTTCACTCAATTATATATCTTCTATCACACAACAATTCCGTAGCATTCCTCCATTTCAGCCATCTTATTATAATTCTATGAAATGGACCTAAATATGGTCACTTGTTCTAAGTTAAATGTTGTGGGAGAACCTCAGTAACTGAGAGTACATTCTCTTCCAAAAGGGGTAGCGTCTATCTAAAAGCACACGTGCCTGTGAGGGATCATAGTTTGACCATTTGTGAATGGTGGCTATGATATATCTTTGCTAGCAAATTTTCATGTTAGTCGACTCGTGCAGCACCACACCGAGACGCCCTAGTAGATGGGGGACAGGTGCTCAAACTCTATGATGTACACATGGCGACAGTTTATGTCAATGACTATAAGGACACTCCAGTTAGAGTAAAGTTATATGTTTGTAGGATGTGATAGTCACAGTATCAACTTATGTTTGTAAAGAAAATCACAGTACTTATACAAACCCTAATATTTTCTTCTAATTTAATCTAGATCACTAGCAATATTATAAAGGTGACTTTATGGGTTGTAAATGTGACTTCTACCTGCACGTGGTAGCATAGTTTGACATGGGGCATAGTTCTCACACTATTGACAAGTCTCTCACAGCTCTGCTCTGATACAATATCAGCAATTTGATTCCATTCCTAGTTGAAAAAACTAGTGAAATTCATTTTTGCTCATCTAACAGGATTCTAACCGAAAAATTTAACAAGACAACTTAATGAATTTGTTTTCACTCATCTAAGAGGATTTCGTTCTTACTAGAAAGCTACATTTCGCTCATCTAACAGGATTTCCTCTGAAAAGGTTCCATGTTCTTGTTATTACTAGGAACAACCAAAACAATTGTAAGTTATAAACCACCAAAACATGCTATACTGATTTGATGTCGGACGGGCCACACATCCTACTTATTATAGAGCATATTTTTAGTTCTAAAGCTGTCTTACAATGATCCACACCTGCTTACACATGTATTGAGTTATGTCACTGAAGCAGTTTGATAAAGAAAAGAGAACCTCACTTACTCTATCTGCAGCTGCTTGGAGAGTGATATGATCTCCCCATTCCCCCAACCTGGGTTGAACAAGAAATACCTCAGTTAATGAACTGTCAGGTCTTCTCCAGGTAAGACTATAGATTGAAACCAGAATTCACCTCTTCATCTTCTTCCGGTAGCTTTTGTATTTCATGGGAACATAACTTTCATATAACTTTCTGAAATGCTTTAGCTGAAACAGAACAGAAACCAGGATAAGCACATAGGATAAATGGAGTTAGAACTTAAATGGATTTGGAGTCTTAAGGATCATATTGATGGGGCACCATTCCGAGCAATTAGGCCAACCTCATAAACTATTACGTCTTAACAATTATTGCGAACTGTTAAGAGAAAACAAAATGGTTTTTAGTATCCTACTATTGTGTATAAGTAGCCATCCTTCGAAAGACGAGTGCAAGGAAAACTCGAAGAGAAATGTCAAAATGAGACCTACTAAAGAAAACCTCATATTGGTCACACAATGTTGTCACAACATTTGATCTGAGAATAATTGACTTAACAACATTTACAAGTCACTGGACAATAATCCAATGTATAATTTTTTGATGTGATAGCAGCAGAGATCTTGACCTATTTCCTGAACTTATACCTCTAAAATTTAAATATTCATGTGTTATACTCAAGAGGAACAAAAGTTGGTTCTTATCATAGAAAGAATGAAGAAAACCAAAAAAGTACGTGGAATGAGGTAAGACAGTGATACAAAGTATTAGGTAAATCTGGGGTTAATAGGGTTGGCATTGTTCCTATTTTTTTTAAAAAAGGGGGTTGACATCGTTCCTCTTCGGCGTTTCCCTAAACATTTTAGTAAGCGCTCCTATTTCCTAATCATAGTTTGGCGAAGGTTGAAATCCTATTTTTTGGGATCAATATTGATCCTTCTTTTGTTGATAAATTAAGGTAAAATTATTAAAGCTAGTACCAAGGAGGAGGTAATGCAAAACTACAGACAAAAAGTCTTACAATGACTCCATTACAATTTCTTCATTAACAAGTCCAAGAAGTCTAGAAGCTGTGCTAAATTTTCTAACATACTCTCCTTACACCAGATATACAAATTGTACATGCATCTACATTTTACAAAAGATAAATGCTGTTTTTATCTTCCAAACATCTCTTATTCCTCTCTAATCATATTGTCCATATGATGAGGAGTTCAACCTTTAGGTTCTAGTCATCCACCGCTGCTAGTTCTACTATGAACATTTGATTTAATTATACAAATTTTATGGTGACAAAAGGAAGAATGTGAATTTCATTGTGTCAGACATGAGGATTTTGAAAGAATAAACCAAACAAAGTCAACAGGAAAAGAAAAAAAATACTTAATTAAAAAGCAAAAGGAGACACATGACATGTCCGTCCTCCGGGGTGCCCAATTCTAGAAAAAGAAAGGAAAAAACAAGACAGACGTGAGATTTAAATCCCCGAGCTCAAAAACAGAAAAAGAAAGGAAAAACAAGATAGACGTGTGATTTGATATCCCAACTTCACTTGTAAAGGTGCACCCAATAATCATTGCACCATAGGACTCTTTGAGCTTGGGTGCACACATATATCTATTTAAGTAGCCTTGAAAAGATATAATATTGTTATATATGATCTAGGAAAAGGAGCAAGGGTGCACGTAAACTCATACCCCTCCCCTTAGATACACCCCTGGAAGTTACTCCTCAAAAGTCTTTCTACATATGTTAAGGGTAAGGATAAGTGTGAGATATGTTGTTTTAGAAAGCCTCGAATTTTCCTTCAGAGAAGAATGGATATAGCCGACCTCAACTATATGAGATTGAGGGTAGTTGATTTAATGATTGGACTGATTAATGCCAAAACATGCCCCCGGGGCTTTGGTCTAGTAGTAAGAGCGTGATGCTTAGTTTATAAACATGTCATGGGTTTGAATGCTTCCGGATACAAAAGTTTGGTATTTACGTGGAGAAGAGTAGAGGGAGCAACTGACCCATTATCCACCGAGTTTCGAACTGTGCGACACTTGAGGATTTCTCGCGGTTATCAGAACAAGTGTGTATAGGTTCATATCTATAGATTGAAGAGGGTTTTTAAGTCTTTGAAGTTTGAACACAGGGAGGGTATCGTTTTAGGAAATTTGCTTTTTCTTTTAATCAGGATTTATGCAAAGCTACAAGTTCAGATATTTGATTAACTTTTAGGAGCCATAATTCATGTATTAAAGGAAACAATTGCCACTTCTTTTTTCCAACTTTTCCTTTTCTGCTTGAATTTAAGAATTTATTCCAGTTGCTATTCTTTAGTTTCTTTGCAGTCCGCTGTTAGCTTCTGCAGAATGACTCATGCTTCCTGCTGCATAAGAACTTCAGTTAGCATTAGAGCTTGCCTCTTATTGCATAAACATGAACACAATTTGATCTAAATGCCGGCACTAAATTGATTAAAACATCTTTGGAATTGCTATAGGTTGGCGCAATACCTATTTTTTTTGTTAAACTCAGGCATTTTGACATGGACATAACGACGAAAGACTTTCCTTGATTCTACAAAACCAAGTCCTTGAACACCAGCAATTATAAATTTTTACCTGTTATTTCATCTCTTCCTTAGCTACATCTCAACCTTTGTATTTGGGTATTCCTATCATCCAGAAACTCTGTAAATGATCTTGTAAATCTCAAAACTCCCTCGTTCAACTAAATCTTTGAGTTTGCAAATAGATCACAAAAATATGACAGACTATTTAAAATCAGAAAACTGCAATCTAGCAAAAATGGCATTTTCCTATTTTCAGCGGCCATTATGCTTGCAATAGGTAACTCTGATAAAGATAGCCTGTTGCATTTTGTTCAAACATGAGGTTACGAAAAGCACAAAAGCTACAAACATTATTGACACTTTGAATTATCCTTCAGGTACACAACCCTCAAAAGCAACAATCTGTTTGTTTCTGACGGTTAAACTAATAACCTTATAAGAATCACGGAAACAGAACCTAAGCTGGAACATGTGATCATCCTAGAGAAAAAGGATCCTCGAACATAATCATGAAGTAGCTTTCAAACCATCTTGTTTTATAACAGTGATGAGATGAAAAAGAAAATTTAATGCGCACACACCTGTTTGACAACCTCCTTTCTCACATGCTTATGATACTCTGGATTATGATACAACTGATCTGCAAGGGCTCGAAACTGTCCAATAAGTCAAGGAAATAGTCATAAAAAGCACACATGTCTATCAAGTGTAGCAATGGCTTGTTAGACTAGTTAAAGGAGACTAACCTGGCAATTTCCATCTCCTTGAATTTGAAATTCAGCAAGCCCATTTGCTGCCAACCTGAATGATAGATAACATTAATTCACAAGAAGCGCATTTCTTGCTGATAGTACCCAAAAAAGTACAGAGATCCCTAAAAGTAACATCTCCGGCCTCTTTACTGTGGAGTTTCAAGCATGAATAAAGTTATAACTTTTGACTTTTCCCACAAATTATGATGCCAACTATGGATTACAAATAAGCAGTTTTAACTATCCCCCGGAGAAAGATACAGTGTAGAGCGACACCCTAAAAATTTTTTAAGCAGAGGGCTATATCTATTCTCAGGTTGCATCGTTTGAGCATACAACAGTTTAAATTCTATGAAACCAAATAAGATGGAAAATCCAACCCTTCGATTAGAGCCCCTGCGGTCATATATCTGGCTTGTCCATTTCAATTTGTGGTTTCAAGATCAATATTGTTCTTATACTGTGAAGAGAAAGAAAAGAAAAAAGAATGGCTAGGCAATTAACTTTCTAGCAAACCTGATGTATAACCTAGTATATACAGACCTAAAAAAAATTAATGGGCCAGGGACTACGAATTTGTTGAATGTCAAGCTTATGACACAATAAGTAAAGTGAGACACAACCTGCCAGAGAGCCTCTCATGGTCAAGTGTTGCATGATTAGGATCAGGTATCTGCCCAATAACCCGCGGAGTATGCTGCAAAGACAGTAAGATTATAAGTGGAAAGTGATGGTAAGTAGAATATGCTAAAAAAATAACAAGTACAGCACACACTATATCACTACTCACATCAATGCAACTCTGTTCAAAAACTCATTAACTAAGTTGTTCGTAATCGAGTGCGCGTGTCCGATACTGGTGCGGATCTAGAGGCTAGATCCTTCACAATATAAATTTTAAGATTCGGGGGTACGGATTCAGGTACAGATACGGGTGCGGGGATTCGGCCAAAAATAATTCCAATATTAAAAAATAGAGTTATAAAAATGTCTAACTTATGAGACATTATGTGGAAAACTTACAAGGTATTCCGAGAAGGAGAAAATATTGAACAAGAGAAGAACCCGGGAAGGAGATAAAAGTAAAAGAACTGACATAGAAATTTCAATATACAAGGTATTCCATTTTCTTTCAATATCACCCTAGCTTTTGTTTTGTTTTAAAAAATCATTGTATCTGCCCCGAATTTCCCTGTTGATTTTGGTCAAAGTACCAAAAAATTGATTGAGGAGATCTGGTACGGATCTCACACCCACACCCACGTCGTGCCGACATAGGTGCGGCACCGAAAATGAAGAATCCGAGCAACTTAGCTCATTAACATATTTGTTATAATTGCATACGAACAAAATGTCGTAAGACCACTATATTTCTATAAATGATAGAAGAAACTATGACTCCGCCTGTGTGAGCTTGCTCACATTGCTGGTCTCAAGCCCGGATAAAGGAGGAGGGCTGCAGTAGACTGGCAGCCAAGCTAAAACTAGCCAATTTCATGATAAGTTCTCACATTAACCGGCCCCAACTTGTTTGGGGCTGAGACATAGTTGTGTTGATGTATAGAAGAAACTCTATATTTTACAAAATAAGCTAATTCTTGATAACTTACAACGTAACAATATTGGAACTATGTCAAAGCAGAAAAACCAAAGAAGACTCCTTCATACACAAGAAAATTCTCTTCTTATTACAATGCTTGCTACAAAGAATAATAATTTCAAGATAACATACAAAAAATTTGTCTAGTACAAGCAGCAAATATCAAATGTACCGGGATTGAGTCCAAATGAGAGAGTCGCTTGCCAAGCTTTCCCCCATACCTCAAAGCATTTTGTTCTTCTTCTTCAGCCAATATTTTTGCAATGGCATGATCATCCTCCGTACCTTGTGAACTGCTATTCAAACTAGACGCCGTCGAACTCGAGCTTCCTCTCGAGTTTCGATATTCAGTCATACTACAATCAACTACTTCTCAAAATAGACCAATACAGCAAAAATTCCTAGCAAGCAACAATCCCCATATCAAATTAGGATATGATCAGGTGAGCTAAAAGACATGGAGTAACTTTATTTAATAGCATTGATTGGTAAATTAGAATAAATGCTGAGTAGCATATAACTTAAATCCTCCAAATAAAATTTGGATTGATACATAAGCTCCGCAAAAAAAAAAAAAAAGAAGCAGAAAATGGAAGTAAGCGAGGATCTATCAGATACTTGTCCGTATGAAAGACCCACAATTGGAATACGAAGTAATGTATCTAATTTTGAATGTGAGTTTTGATCTCGATTCCTTTAGCCCTTCTTTTATAGCAAAGAAAAAATAAGATCAACTCATGAGCTAGATAGAGCAAAATTCGAAGTACCTTTTGGCCTAGCGACGAGGAAGAGAAAGAAATGCGATTTTGATAATCCAAGAAAAAAGGAAGTAATAATGAGATTTTGATAATTCAAGCAAAAGAAAGCATAAGGGAGAGGGGTGGGTGCCGTAGTAGAGGAAAGATGGCAAAGGAAAGCGAAGAGTTGGTTGTGAGTCTTGTGAACGTGGGAACACTTGATTAGAAGTCATTCCCTCACCTCGACAAGCAAAGAGATAAATGTTGGTCAACAAAACAGGAGATAGAAACATCTTACTTGGGTATTACCTCGTCCTAAATTTGTCCTATCATTTTAACCGTAAAAAAGGGAAGGTGCTGCACCCAAAGCTTGGTCATGGAAGTATGTATGGAATCATGGTCCAACTAAGGGTGTCTAACGGGTGGACCGGGCCGGGCTGGGTAGGAAAAAGTTGAATGAAATCGTTCGGTTTTGAACCGGGCGGTTACGGGTTAGGGGTTACCGGACTTAATAGATTCGGGTTCATCCAGGTAAAAAATGAACCGTAAGGGTTACGGGTCCAAGGGGGCGGGCCGGGCCGGGTTAGTGTTTTTTTTTTATTTTTTTTGTATTTTGTATAACTATTGTAATTTATATTAATATAAAGTAAAAATATAAAGAATACAATGAAGATGGAAAAAAAATTGCACTTAGAAATTGCAAGTGGTATATTTATTTCAAAATTCAAACTTACAAATTGAAAAGTTTACATTTAACAACAAGTAATTTAACGAAAAAAAGTAATTCAAAGGTTTTGCATTGCCTTAGATTCTAAAACCTTAAAAAAAAATTAAAATCTAGCCTTTAAACCTGGTCGGGCCGGGCCAGTTAATCGATTCTACAGGGATTTTGGTTGACCGGGTTTGACCGGTGGTTAACCGGATGAATTAAAGTGAACAAACCAACCCCCTAACCCTAGTAACCCAGCCCACCCGGCCCGGCCCTAGTAACCCAGCCCACCCGGCCCTTAAGTACCGGGCCGGGCGGGGCCGGGTTTCAACCGGTCTGGGCCGAGCTGGTCCCGGGTCAGCCCGACCCGTTTGACACCTATAGGTCCAACCAAGTCCACCAAACTTTTGGAAGAAAAAAGGGAAAAAATTCACAAGTAGCACTTCTAGGAAATGGAAACATTCCAAGTAAAATATTCATAGCCAAAGTATTTGTAACGATCCAACCGGTCGTTTTGAGATCTATCATTTTGGTTCTGTGATTTGAGACCTTGAGTATCTTCATATGATTTATTACGACTTGCGAGCATGGTTGGTTTTGATTTTCGAGAGGTTCGGAATTGATTTGGAAGAGTAATCCTTAATTTGGAAGCTTAAGTTGGAAAGAGTTGATTAAGATTTGACTTTTGTGTAACCGACTCCGAATTGGTATTGTAAGGTCCCAATAGGTTCGTATGATAATTTTGAACTAGTACGTACATTGGTTCGAGTCTCGGGTGGCTCGAAGTTGATTCACTACTTCTATTCGAAAGTTGAAAATTTGAACTTATGAAAGTTTGAAGATTTTTATTTGATGTGATTCTTGGTTTTGATGTTGTTATTCGTATTTTAAGGTTTTGAACAAGTTTGAATAAGGTATATGAACTTGTTAGGATGATTTTCCAGGGTCCCAAGAGGCTCGGGTGAGCTTCGGGATGATTTCGGGTCATTTTAGGATTGTTGATTTACTGATGTGTTGCAGGGCATCGCAATCGCGGAGGGGTATCTCGCGATCACGGAGAAGGAATATGGGACAACAGACTTTGTTAAGCAATCATGAAAGAGGGGTGGCGATTGTGGAGTGGAGTTGGAAGTGACGCATTACGATCCCTTAGTGGGCGCTGCGCTCGCGAAGAGGAGCTGAGCCAGGGGTGTGTTGTGCATCGCGATCGTGTGTGAGAGACCATGATCGCGTAAGAGAAAGTCTGGATGGGCAAGCTTGGCTTTCGCGTTCATGTAGGGCCGATCCCATTTGTGTAGAGGAGAGGCCAGTTGGCCTTCGCGATCGCCAAGACATGTCGGCGATAGCGTAGAAGAGGATTGGAGGCGGTGCTGGTTTATGCATCACAATCATGTGACTTGGCGGTCGCGATTAAGGATTTTCGGTCAGGGGCAGTTTTACTCCAGATTTTCGGGAAAAGTCTCATTTCACTATTTTTGACTTGGGAAGCCCGAGAGGAGAAGAATTTTAAGAGGAATTTCATTGCTACTTTGAGAGTAAGTGATTTCTACCAAGATTTGATCATATACTTCCACGATCATGAAGCTCATCAGAGACACCAAAAAAGCAGCAGAGCAAACTCATCCGAAATGGTCCAAAACTACCCCGAAATACACTCAAGCCCTATGGCATGCCGTCCAAACATACCAACAAGTCCAAATACTTTATCCAATCCTATTGCAAGGCTCCTAACATACAAAACAACGACAAAACCAAGAATCAAAGATCAAATCCATATCTTAAATTTCAAACGTTCTAATTTCATCGTACACGTCAGAATAACACTCAGACATTTCGGATTAACAACAAACTTCACACACATTGATGTATGCTCATGATCCAATATCAATGTATATAAGAGCCAATGCATGAGTCTAAGATACTAATGCATGCTCAAGATGCAATCTAGATATCTCACAACACAAATCCATGTGTCTAATACTGGCCAAGTGTCCAAACAAGCACCAATATACTGCTAGCACTCACAAAGTTCAAATTGACATGGATAATCACCTGACTATGGAGGGATGAATCCATATCCAAGCGTTGTTGCACCGTGTAACCCGGTCCAACAGGAATATCATCAGCAATCATATCCTCTGATAATATCTTTGGTGCAAAAATTTTCAACTTTCCTCAGCATCCAACTCTCCAACTCATGTATATGCATATGAGATGATACGATAAAGATGCACCATGGCATAATCATAAAAATGTGGATAACTAATAACATGAATAAGAGATAGTTACAACTATTCACGTAATTCAACTTTTCAAAACTTCAACAAGTTCCTTTATTATTCTAAAGTCCGATCATGATATCAAATATGAATAACAAGAGCCAATAATCTCAAATCATAAGTCAAATAAGGCAGTTGCATGAATATGGCTAAAGAAGAAAGTCCAACATGGTGAAAGAAGTCTGTAAAGTTCAAATCATCAAGTCATAATCCTAACATACTCTCTAAGCATGTTTTAAGATTAATCATGTAGTCAAAGCATCAATAAGGCAAGGATAACAATTCATAAAGTCTCAATAAGGCCTAATATATTCCCAACTCTAACCGGCTATGGTCATAAACTAACGCCGCATATACACTTGTTGCCTCGCATATACGAAACACATAAAGCAAGTAGCAAATAGCACATATATCGCCTAATGGGGAGAATTCTCTCTTACAAAGATAAAGAAGAGACATAACTGTGTCCGACAAGCTTTATCAACAATAAACCACATTTTCATTCAAATTCAACACCAAACGACTTGAATCTAATCAAATTCAACTCAATAACATCAAACAAAGCCATATGAATCAATTTCAAGCAATAAAGCTTCAATCTTTAATCAAATTCTCAAAAGTCAATAAAAGTCAACTCAAGCATACGTGGTCAAAAACCTAGTAAATGGGTAGATCCCGACTACACATAATCTCACGTGCCCAAATATGTAAATTAGATTCCAAAAGCAATTCCAAATCGACCAAACAACTCGAATCTAATCAAATACACTTTTTCATTCAGATCCAACACCAAATGACTCAAATCTAGTCAAATACAACCCAATAACATCAAACTAAAGTCGTAGGAATCAATTCGTAACAATAAAGCTTCAATCTTTAATCAAATCTCCAAAGGTCAACAAAATTTAATCCGGGCCCACATGGTCAAAATTCGAGTCAAGAGGTAAACCTCGACTACCCATAACCTCACGAGTCTAAATATGTGATTAGATTCTAAAATCAAGTCAAAATTGACCCTCTAATCCTCAAAATTCACCCTCTTAAGTTGTAGAAAATAAACCCAAATTTTCTTCAAAAATTCCATGATTAAAATGCATAAATCCATGGGGAATCAAGATATATATTCAAATCCAAGTGAAAATTACTTACCCTCAATGTAGCAGTGAAATTGCTCTTTAAAATCTTCTCATCTCGAAGTCTAGGGCCCAAAATATAAAAGAATGAGCAAAATCCCGAAAATAGCAACTTAAATATTCAGCCCAGAAGTACACTTTTTGCGAACGCGACCATTGCCTCGCATTCACGAAGCAAAAATCTACCCTTGTTCAAATCTTCCTATGCAATAGCAGAAGTACCATCGCCATTACGAAGCTCACTAATAAGTTGGTATTTTACCAATTTATCTCTTCTTTGTGCTTATGACTTTTGTATTATTTTGCCGAGAAATTACAGCATTTGTTGAGGTTTATTGGTATATTTTTAGTATTATGTGGTTTAATGGAAGATACAGAAAAAGCAAGTCACAATGAGCTAAAATGGAAAAATTGGCTGCTACCAGTTATTTCTCTTCGCAAACGCGGAGTGTCTTGATGCGTTTGCGAACATCCAGGTAAATAGCCAACGCGAATACGGAGGGTGGGCTGCAAAAATGAAGAAGGAAGAGCCGGTCAGTGGCTAGTCAAGTACTCTATACGATCATGAGGTTGAAATATGCAATCACAACATCATGAAAAATGTCTATCGCAAACGCGAAACGGTTATGCAAAGGCAATACAGAAAAGCCTGGTCAGCGAATGGTCAAATGTTCTATGCAACGCGAGGTGCATTACGCGATCATGGTTCTTTGAATTGTCATTCAATGCGATTGTGATTCATCTAACTGGCAGAAAATATTGATGGAACTGTCATTTCACATTTTTGGCACCCAAACCACTTAATACCCAACTCAGCTTATTTTGGGAGATATCTTTGGTAGCAAGTACAAGTCTTGGAGCTAGGGTTCCTGCACCACACTTGAGAATTGAAGATTTGGGATAAGATTTTCTTACGCTTTTTTTACTCATTTCTTCAGTTCCTTGATTTGTATTGAATATCTAGGTGTGTAGTATTTTATTCCATTGTTTGATTATAATTTATGGAAATACCCATAATTTAAGTTTGGATTAAAAAAACTAGGTACACTTATGTAATTGAATGTATTTATTATGAAGTGAGTTATTTATTTCTTTAATTTTTCTTGTTCTTTAAT